CAGATCTTTGGTGAATGTAGGATTGTAAATCAAGGTTATTTGAGGGCTTACATTTTTGTGGTAGGTGTCGCAGTGGATTTTTCCTGTAGATAGGAATGTTGTTGTTTTAAAAATTTAGGGTTAGGGCTAGGAAATGCAATATAAATTGTTAGAGTATTGTAGTTTTTTTATCTTTTATTTTTTGGAGCAAGAAAATCAAATCCTTAAAATTTCAGGATTTGCTAGGTTGTGATGTTATGTAATATTATTCTAGAGCTATTATAAGGCCTTTGGGAAGCAGGTTTGACAAGGATGTGGTGGAGCAATAGTGAGGGAATGAAAACTATGGACAATCGACAACATTTGGAGAGGAATATATCACATATGGTGGCTATCCTAACTAAAAACAGTAAGATTTAAAATTGAATGATGCAGTACGAATGTCAAGGAGGTTTCTCATATGTTCCTGCTCAAGCTATAGACAGACCACTTATGATAGAAATCAAAGATACAATCTTTGTACACACAAACAATGACAAAAGAGTCAGAAAAATAGGACATAACAAGATATAAATTATTCCCTTATAAAAATAATATAATTAGAAATAAAGATATAAGAAACAAATCAAGAGAGAAAAAAATGTAATGTTGAAAGTTGACCCCGAATTCCAATTCCTACGATAATGATCATCTCAAGATCCAATGAAACCTACGGACCACAAAATCCCACGGAAGCAAGATCTCGAGATCCCAGGCATAAGGCTCCTGCATCCCTATTCCTTAAAGTATTTTAAAATGATAAAATTATGCTCACTACTAATTGCGCATTTCAAAATTATCTTATTCACGAATGAGATATATTTGGCATTGATTGTTAAGGCTATCAAAACAGCTCGTTGCTCGCGAACAACTCGTGTTTGGCCCCTTTGCTAAATTAACGAATCGAACACGAACAAAGACTTGTTCATTCGTGTTCGGCTCGTTTTGACTCAAAATACTACTCATTAATTATATATATACATATATATATATATATATATATAATTGACTCAAATTATATATATATATATATTGATATATATATATATATATAAATTTAATTGACTACAAGCTACAAAGATTTAGAATTAATTAAAAGTATTGATTAAAAAAATAGAATAAAAACTATTAAATTAGATTCAAATAATGTTTTAATATAAACAATAATTTTTAAATCTTGTCCCAACCCTTAACATCTTATGGTTACGTGATTAGACTTGTCAATAACGGCTCTTTCGTGAACAACTCATGTTTGGCTCGGTAAGAAAATGAGTCGTACACGAACACACGTTTTGAGCTCGAAATATAAATGAGCCGAGCACGAGCTGAGTCTAGGCTTACCCGTGTTCTGCTCGTTTACACTCCTATTGAAGGTTCACCCACTACTCAATTTAAGGATATTATAGCATTTATTTGTACAGCTATTTCCACTTTAAAGTAGAGAGAAAAATCAGAAGTTACTTCGTACAAGTGCTTCTCACGTGTGCATATTTTTGTATTTTCATTTATTTATTTTGTGTACAGTATGTATATGATTGTACATTTATATAAATATATTATAAATACTTTATTAATACTTATGTAGTTTTGGGTGGAGACAAAAAATTTACCTAACGGGAGCATAATTTGATTATTTAAAAAAGGGATTAGCGGAGCACATATTGTTTACTTTAGTTAAATATTAATCTTAATAATATATAAATATATGATTAATAAGAAAATCATACGTATTATAAGATAAATGGGTGGGGTGGGTTAGGATTAAAGTCGACATGCAATGCCCTGAAATTTTATATTTTATTTAAATAAAAAATGTTATATATTTAATCCAGTATCAAAAAAAGTTTTTTGATCAAGCATGAATCTTGATGCATTTCGACAAAGTTTCTTTTTTAATATTCAAATTCTGGATCATTCAAGCTATAGCTTTAATAACATCACAATTAAACTAATTATATAAGTCTAATTATATTGAAAGGAATTTAATTATAATTCAATCAAGTCCAACTCATGTATTTGAAGCGCAATTTAAAATCATGGAATATTACTTGGAGGAACATAAAATCAAAACTTGATACTTACAATTAAATCGTGCGATTAGAGGAATCCAACGAGGGCAACATCATCTAATTTCAAGATAGTTAAGCTATGAAACGTTTTAAAAGTTTATATAATCAAGCAACCAATGTGCCCATTTCATGGAGTGTATTGAGATTTTGGCTAAATTTATCAAAATACTCTTCTAATATTAAATAAACTCCAAAAAAGGAATGAGAAGACAATAGGGAACTGACAACTAAAGAATAACTTTTGAAGAGAAGAACATAACCAAGCATTTCTAACAATTGTCAATCATCGCCAATGGTTACTGTAACATGACTACAACTATGACTGTTACGGCCATAAAATATGGCGCTTGTAGCAAAATATGAGCGTTGTAGCCACTAAATACAGTTGTTATAGTGCCTACTACTTCTAATTGTTTGTATTTATATGGTATTTCAAGGCCATTATGATTTAAGCATAATTTAAAAATCTCATCTTTCATAATTAAGAAGAAGAGTAGTTCCTTGTACTTAAAATTTTAATGGATTATTTTGCTATTTTTCCGTCATGATGCACAAAAAGCGGAGAAACAGAATGAGTGTCATTTGGAGGAGATCCTCGCTCAGTGTTGCATCCACCGTAAGGTCCAAATCGACAAAAAAACATAGCTTTTCAAATTGCAGATGAGGTGCTCCGTTCTTCGACGGAACATTTTGAAGGCTCCTTCAAACGAGCAATTATTGGGTGCGGAGAGCGCACGCAGATCTCCGCACCCAATAATTAGACCCTTCAAACATTTAACAATAAGTTTAAAAGGAAAAAAAAGTGAGGAAAGAGAAAGTGTCTTATTGGGATGCCAAATGAACATAAGAAAGTCAATTTAAGCTTATATAAAAATTGCATATGTTACTGTCATCTGGCCTGTCATGGTGCTGCTAATAGCAAGGTGGAACAATTCAATTCCCCAACTTGCATTTATTTAGTTCATATTTCTTAATTGGATGTAATAGAGATTACCTAAAATTAAAATAAAGAACAAAAAATCTGGTTGTTTTTGTCCTTTCATTTTTTTTTCAAAAAATTATACTGAAAAGTTTCATTTTATAACTTGACCCGAATAAAGTGCATTTACAATCAGAGAGCTGTAGTATGAATTCTTCAAAATTTAAAAAACTTATGTTAATCACCGTTGTTCTTTTATCAATAGTATCTTCTGTCACACTTTCATAACTCTTTCTTCAAATAACTGCAACTATTCCAAATAGACCCTATGTTGTCCACCAAAAGAAGGAGCTTAAATTATATTCAAACTATTACATATCATGCAATTCCTTTGTATTTATACATCTAACCCATAAACTTTATTATCCTTTTTACATATGAAAAAAAGTATTTCATTTTTTAAAAAGTTAAACAACTGGCGTTTTGTGTGTGATGAAAGATTTGGGTTATATTATTATAAAAAATATATTTTAGGTTTTAGATATATAAAATGGGAAAAAAAAATAATATATGTGGATGAGATAGTTGTGGATTAGAAGTGAATCGGACGTATTAGCATTGTATTGTGAAGCTGACGTATTGAAGTTATCATTATGACCCATGTGACCAACTACAATATCTATAGCTCACTCCTTCGGCAGCTCCCATTGCAGTCTATTTGGTCAATTGACGTTCCTAAAGTAACAATCTACAACCTAAACGACCAACTACAATCACAACTTTTAACTAAAGACTCTACGACAAGCTCGTGTTATAATCATCGCCTATAACTTTCATGATGGGGGTACTGTCTTCATAATAATCAACTATAATTTTTGGAGCTCGTTGCAACTATTATTATTGAACTAGTGTTGTATGTGAATATTGTAATTATATTTTTTTGTAATTTATGTTGAGAATGGTCTATGTACTTACAATTATATAGTAAATTATTTTAATTAAATTTGGTCACATAATTCTTTTGCTTTACAGAGTTTTTCATGTAAAAAGTGAAAGTATGTTGGATAATTTTTCAACACTAAGGCGCTTAATTATCATTTTAACGCGCTGAATTTTCTGGCATATAATAATAAATTTTAAATTAATTGGGAAAAAATTAAGTAAAAAAAATATTGAATTAATTTTTACATAAAAAGTCAAAAAAATATTCTGAGCCAATATTGTTTTTAAAAAAAGTATTCATTACAAATTACAAGAAAGTCTCCAAAATTGCAAGTACTTTGAAGCTGCGTTCTCGGAGCCCGCCTATGCATCCATAATTTCTCTCCTTCAACATCTCGTGCAATCTCTCTCCTTGGTTACCGGAAAAACCTATCCTCTTACACAATTATTAACCGTCCAAATAAGATCCAACGGTCATGAATTCTGACAAAAAAATAGAGCTGATCCAATTGACAGCCACGCGGAAAATTTAAAGCGCGGTGGGTCCCAAATTAACCCATTTATATCCGTCGGATCTCCATCGGACGTATGTCATTAGAACCCAGGCTGCCAAGCTTCAGAGCCCTATAGCCCTTGACCGCGCCCTGCAGCCCAAAACTGACCGTATAACCTTCGTCGTCGTTTCCTATAAAAGAACCAAGCACGCTGTCATCCTCTCAGCTCGATTGCAGCCGTTCTCCATTTTCAGATCTACGCCGCCCGGGAGGAGATGAGCTATTACAACCAGCAGCAGCCGCCAGTTGGGGTTCCTCCACCACAAGGTAGTTGATAATTTCTTTATCTTTCTCTCTAGCTCTCTCTCCATGGATCGATCTGGGATGAGTTTGTTATTCGGGATTCTAAGTGGATCTTGAGGTGATGGGGCTTTTTTTTTATTTCTGTTCCTGATGACTTGGGTTTTGGATTGTGAATAGGTTACCCTCCAGAGGGATATCCGAAGGACGCCTACCCGCCTCCGGGTTACGCCGCTCAGGGTTATCCACCGCCGGGACCCCCCGCGGGGGTACCCCCCGGCGGGTTATCCTCCACAAGGTGGTTATCCGCCGCAGGCTTACCCGCCTCAGTATGCGCAGCCACCGCCGCAGAAACAGCAGAGTAGCGGGCCTTCATTCATGGAGGGATGGTGAGATCTCTTTCTCCCTCTTTCGCTCTCGATTCATTGATATGGCGATCAATATTTTTAGGGGTTTGTTTTGGGATTTGTGTCGGACGGAGTACTCCGGTGATCGATCGGTGCTGGTGGCTTCAGCGATAACTCTACAAAGCGGCTGGCTTACGGCAGTCTTTGAATTGGTTGGATGTCACCTTCAATGGGGCTTGCAATTAATTGCCGGCCGATTTATATATTTTCAGCAAATAATACCTAACCCTAATAAACTAAATTTGCTCTGTATATAGACATTGACGAGAATTTCTGGGTTTGTGGCAGCTTGGCGGCACTGTGTTGCTGCTGCCTCTTGGACGCATGTTTCTGAGAGAGGAATCTGAGGCAGACGCTGCGGCGACGGGCCGACTGGAAGATGATTTGATCTCCTGGCGAGGCTTAGATGCTTTTGGCGTTGTTTGCTGAAGATTCAAATGTTCACTTCGTATATCTTTTTTCTCATTGTCTTCTTAAAATTTCTCCCGGATCTTGTTTTCTAATTTTATGTTCTCTATTTTGCTTGGGTTTGTGCGCATTAGAAGAAGAAGACAACGTAGATGAATGCCTGTTTCTCATACTCTGCTCTGTATTGTGAATTTTTTTTACCTTTGTAACACCTAGGGTTGAACTCATTTGTTACTTAAAAGTTGAAAACTTCTGTGAATTTTGATTTTTATTCCCTTTTTGCGCTTGATTGTTTTGTAACGAGCATCATTTCGTTTTTAATTTATTATTTTTCTTTATTAATCAAATTATGAATAAGATTAGTAATGAACTAAACTCAACTCTGTGAATTAAAAAAAAAGAGGTTTTTACGCATCAGGGTCCTCAAACCTCTCTATTTACCTATCAAATCAAGGATTCCAAACATTTTATTTACTCCCAGAGGACTGTCACGCCTCCGTACTTTCTGGAACTGAGCGTGCAGAGAAGCTGCCGCTGCGTGTTCCACCATGGCTTTCGCCTGCCATGCCATCTATTCGGTTTGAAGGCGGTTCAGTCGGTTTTGAAGCTCCAAGATGCAGCGGCCAGTTCGCTTGTTCTCCGCCGCCTTCTCTGGTAGCTTCTTTCCGGCTGCTTCGAGTAAAGTGCAATAGTGCCGCTGACGTTTCTTTGCAAATTCTCGCCGGAGCTGCTCCGTCTGATACACGAAGAAATAGATGAATATAATTGGGAATTCTTGTGTGACAAAACCTGCGTAAATAAAAATGTTTCGGGTTCTTGATGTGTAAAATATGTAAATAGGGAAATTTGAGAACCTTGATATATAAAAATCCCACTAATCTCTTTCCATTGCATTACTCATTTACAAATATTCCAAATTGTACAAGGTTGCGGTTGGGGCAACTTAATAGCGGTGCTTGCGTTTTGAAAACATTTTCACGCGTTTGTTTATGCGTTCTACTTGCTTATCCTAAAATGCAATACCGGTGGTTTTTTAAACTCGACCGTGGGATCAACCCCACGACCCATATTCTTAGCTCAAATATTTTCCTGCTTGTCCTTTGTTCCTAGCTCAACTCCTGTTCTACCCTAGGTGATGACTCGCGCTCCTCTTTCACTCTAGTGCTCCTCGCTCGCCTTTCACCTGCTCCTCATTCCGACCTCAGTTAATGTGTTATAACTTATTTTGATCAAATGTTTTTCTCTATATATAATTTGTGATAATTTTTTGATGGAATTATAATATCTTGGAGGTTTTCCAATCAAACGGCATTCCTCGTGCGCTTTTTTTTTCGTTTTT